AACCAAAAAGAGGTATACATTAAGCCTTTTAATTTCAGTTATTAATGTAAACCCTCAGGTTTATAATGGTATATAGGTCCCTTATGTCTGCAGATAAGAAGTTGTTTTTTTTTTTAAGAAATAGTACAAATTAAAATCTATTATAATTATACGGGGTTTTTGTGTGTGTGTGTGTGTGTTTCTGTGCTTCTTTGAGTTGACTCCGCCCACCAACCAAGCAGCTATGGAAAGGTTGGCCTTTAAGCGAGAACATTGCTTAACGCTGATGGGAATGTTTAATTCAATGAAGAGCGAAAAGAATCAGGTTATTGAAATGAGTCCTAAGATACCATGATTTTATCTCGATATAAGTAAAACGTCACAATCAAAATAATTCAAGATGTGAATGACACACTAAGTTATTGCATGGCTTTCTCAGCATGCTGACATTCATGTACGCTGATGATATGGAACGTCTGTCGCTCAACCCCACTGCCTCTGTATCAATTTTTTACTGTAAAACATAATGTTCACCATAACCTTATATTTGTTATGTAGTACTAGTATTTATAGCAAGAGCAAGCAAAATGGGAACTAGTTTGGAAAATTGCATAATTATATTGGTATGGGATATTGTAAAACATTCTAAACATGTATATTTGTCATGTTTGTGTCAAATTGATATTTTTCAATAGCAACAAACGGTATTTATCTTGTTTAGATCTATTACTCTGTTGAAGTTTCTTTAATACATGGGTAAACCAAAATGACTCTTGGTCCAAGACCTATGAAACAATAAAGACTTAGTCAATAGATAAAAACACATATGTACTTCAAGTGATAAAACGGATTCCTTGGCCATGGATAAATAGTTCTATGTAGAGGAGCTGAAGTATTATGCAGCTTTTTAAATAAGTCACGCAACTTACTATGCAAAAATAAGAAAAGCACATCCGAGTGGAGCCAACAGGCGACAAATAACATCTTATACCGGTATCAGAAGGTCACAACATACTACAGAAAACTATTCATGGTTAAAAAGAATAATGATACAAATGCAAACAATTTAAATAGAACATGCATTTACATTCTAAAGCTGACTTTGTCAAACAAATATAAAAAAAAATGACAATCTGGAGTTGTTTGTTTCTTTAAGGGTTTTTTTTTTTTAAGTTTGGTTCTAAATTGCAAGCCAAAGAATAAAAAATGACAGGTAATCAATTTGTTACGAAAAATTTAATGATGGAAATTTTAACTTTGAAGCTATGTTAGAATGCAAAATGTAATTATACCGCAAAGGGAGGTAAATTGGGATCATTGCATTTTATGTTTATTACATTTTCAATTGAAATTATTACAAAATATGAATACGCACTTTTTTGACATACAAAGAGCTCACGGCGGGTGTGACCGGTCGACAGAGGATGCTTACTTTTCTTAGGCACCTGATCCCATCTCTGGTATTTCCAATGGTCGATCCGTGTTTTTGCCCTGTTAAAGATTTGTTTTTTTTTACTGCAATTTTAAGATTGATCACTGTTCGTATTGTTCATAACTTCTAAATTCTTGGGCACTCTTCTGAGTTATTGTTCATGTAATATCTAGTATTATACATTCATTTTTCCAATATTAAACTGAAATTTACATTTTAACTGAATTTCAAACATGAAATGGGAAACAATGAAAAAAGGTGAATATAACGAACAGTGATTGATCTAAAAAAAAAAAAAAAAAAAAAACCTTCAAACAATACAAATCTGTGAACAGGACATAAAACACGGACAACCCGGAAATTTCAGAGGTGGGATTACGTGCCTAGGACACGTAAGCAGGAATTAGCAGTAATTGTTTGAGGAAAACATTTTTTTTTTCTTATTCAGTCTTTGAAATCATTGCAACGCACACCAAATATGTTTCAATTATGTGTTTTACCAGTTAAATACATTTTCAGACATGCATGAGAGTCCAATGAAATTCCTCATTTGAACTTTAGACTGCTATAAAAAAGGTCCAGTTATTTCTCATCTTAATTAAACAAACACTATTTTTTGGAATATCACCCGTCGTCAAGCAATGTTGACTGCTGGAGTGCGTGGTTTCATCATTCAGCAGGAAATAGTGTTTTTTTTTTTTTTTTTTTTTTTTTTTTTTTTTTAATGCCCCCTGATCGAAAGATCCCGGGGGTATATTGTTTTTGTCCTGTCTGTCTGTTTGTCTGTTTATCTGTTTGTCTGTTTGTCCGTTTGTCTGTTTGTCTGTCTGTCTGTTGTCAACTTTATCCTTGCCCATAACTTTTGATTGGTTGGAGCTATGACTTTCATATTTCACATGTGTATTCCGTGTGACAAGACCTTTCTTTGGGTACCATCATATTTGACCTTTTGACCTTGACCTTGGAGTTTGACCCACTTTTGCAAAATTTTATTAGACTTTAACCTTGGCCATAACTTCTGAACAGTTGGTGCTTGGGGATTCAAACTTCACATGTGTATTCTTTGTGACAAGGCCTTCCTTTGGATACCAACAACTTTGACCTTTTGGCCTTGACCTTGGACTTTGACCTACTTTTGAAAAACTTTAACCTTGGCCATAATTTTTGAACAGTTGGTGCTTAGGGTTTCAAACTTCACATGTGTATTCCTTGTGACAAGACCTTTCTCTGGATATCAACCGCTTTGACCCTTTGACCTTGACCTAGGAGTTTGACCTACTTTGGAAAAACTTTAACCTTAGCTATAACTTTTGAATGGTTGATGCTAGGGCTTTCATACTTCACATATGTAATCCTTGTGACAAGATCTTCCTTTGGATACCAACCACTTTGACCCTTTGACCTTGACCTAGGAATTTGACCTACTTTTGAAAAACTTTAACCTTGGCTATAACTTTTGAATGGTTGGTGCTAGGGCTTTCATACTTTACATATGTAATCCTTGTGACAAGATCTTCCTTTGGATACCAACCACTTTGACCTTGACGTTTGACTTTTATTTAAAAAACTTTAACCTTCGCCATAACTTTTGAACAGTTGTATCTAGCTCTTTCAAATTTCACAGGTGTATTCCTCGAGACAAGATCTTTCTTTGGGTATCAACATTTTTTATCTTTTGGCCTGGATTTTGACTTGCATTTGAGAAACTTTAACCTTCGTCATAAGCTGCCATACGGGGGCATCAGTATTTCACAAACACATCTTGTTTTTTTTTTTTTTTACAAATGGTTCTCGACGAATCAGATTCAGCTAATTTACATGAAAGTGTAATATTTAAAGATGGTCTTTGACAATATGAAAATAAGGCCATTCTGTGGAAACTGCGCTTCATTACAAAAATCGGTGAAGAACACATTTGAAGATAATTATGGTTTTGATGAATGGAAAGACTAGTCTTTCAGGCAGTACGGTATTCAGATGGATTAAGAAATTCAAAAGTGGAAAAGTAAAATATTGCAGGTCAAACTAGTCGATTTAAATTTGTAGTAACATCAACAATTTGGATACTGTGAATACTGCCTAACAGATGCATAGGGGAAAAAGCGTTAAAATTGCCAAGGAACTATTAAAAAATAAAACAAAAAATATATCATAAACTTGGGTCATGGATGACAAAACATGGTTGCATGTTCAAGAGCCCAGAAGGAAGATCAATAATAAAATGTAGAATCGGAGAGGAAGCTATCGTCCTATTCCTACAAAGAGAAGATAGAGCTCCATACAGGTCTTTAATATACAGTTTTATACACTAATACATGTACCAACACAAAAAGGAAGGTCAATGGTAGTTTTGATGTAAAAAATTGTATTCATGAAAATTGTTGTTGTTTGTTGTTTAACGTCCCTCTCGAGAATTTTTCACTCATATGGAGACGCAACAACTTGGCGGTGGAGAGCTGCAAATTTTGACCTAGGCTCGGCACTCAGGGCCATTGAGCAGTGAGGGATCTTTTTCGAGCCAGCACCTACTGCAACACGGGACCTCGGTTTATACGGTCTCATCCGAAGGACTGGTCACCACGTCCCACAGAGGGATTTGAACCCGCGACGTAAGGATCAACTCCTTACTCTTCATGAAAGTTAAGCAGGTCAATACTCATAGACTCTGAGATGTAAAAGGAATTTTGAAAAAAAGAACGTTTGCAGAGCTTAACCAAATCTTGATTCTCTAGATCTCAGTCATTGTGAGATATCTTTATTCCAAAAACTTAAGAAACCACTAAAGGAAGACGCTTCAATTTTGGATCTGTCCTTGGGAGTGCTATCCCTCAGTGCTGTCTTTTGAGTCACTCAAAGAAGAGTATGGTGATCTGTTCTGGTCATGGGTACAGAAACTTAAGACATGTGTTAAAGCTAACAGGGAATAGTTTGAGGGATTCAAGATATAAAGAAGCTGCTCTTCTCTTATTTTTTTTAATGACCTTTTGCAATATCAATTGCAATTTGAACACCCCTTGTATCCCACAATCATATGCAATTGGTGTTTATGTCTCCAAACTGAATCGATACTCAAGTGCATGTTCTGAGTACGATCAATTTTTAAAACCAAGACAGGCAACTGACAATTACGTTGATGTTACAGGGTTTTCAAATATCTCGTTTAACGTCAGCATTTCTGAAAATCTATTGTCGTTTACTGACCTTGTTTGCAAAAACAACATACCGTTGGGTTGTATTTTGACTGACATGTTTCCCATCACTTGGTAGGTCATTGTTTTTATACCATTTTGACTAAGGATTACCCAGTACTCCGTTTACCTAATCAATACAGTGGGCTACCAGAGGGTGTGACCAGTTGATAGGGGAATCGTAGCTTCCTGATTCAACCTATGGAATTTTCATGGGATCCGAGTTTTTTGCCTGTTTATGAGTCGTATTCTTTATTGAATTTCTGGTTTTTATCAGTGTTATAATTTTATTTTTTTTAAATCAAATATACAAGAAAATATATCAAACTAAAGAGAATCAATTTCTTTTATTTAAAAAATTACAGAAAAACACTTTCATATTATTTTCTTCAACTAAAACATGGATTGCGTGTTTTCACATATGGGTAAGCATGAAAAATTAAAAAAAGAACTTTATTAGTATATTTTCACTTTCACCGTCTTCCATTTATACTCAAACGTACACATGTATACATATATATTTATCCAGAAGATTAATCTTAGAACTGATACATTTCTTCGAAACCTCACTCTAAAACGTAAAGGAATTTATTCTTTGTCATCAAGAAGGTTTCTAAGAACCTCTTTCAATTTTTCTAGATTGCCCCCACTTTGCTTGTCATCAGTGTCGGTTATTTTTCTTTCTTCCACTTCATTGAGCTCAGATTCCATTACGTCATCATTATCATCATCGTTATCATCCTCGTCGTCTTCGACATCATCTCCTTCGTTATCGCTATCAGTGAGGTCGCCGTCCTCTGTTAGCTGTCGTCTGCTAGTGGACCAGCTACAAAACTTTTGATTCTCGATGAAAACGAGGCCAGCAGGACATGATCTTAGATGTGGTACACCATAAACACAGTCATAATATTTACCAGGGTCATTTGGGTCGGCTAATTTATCAAATCCTGTACTCGGGCAAACCACGGTGGTTGTGGCCGTGCATATTTGTTGATCTTTGTTGAACTGAGTTCCAGGACCACAAGGCATAACAGTAGATCCCCCAAATGCATCACATTGAATGAACTTTGTCTTGTCCTTTGGATATGGTATGTGATAAATGTAACCCTTAGGTATACACTTGGATGTGGAGTTCGACTCGCTACTCTGTGTCTGGGGTGTTGGAGTTGAGAAGAGTGCTTCGCCAGAATTCTGTTGAGTTGTACCTATATAAAAGAATACTAGTATGTATCTTAATTAGAACCGTTATAGTTGTAACAGTAATTAGGTATTTGCAATAGATGTAGACATTGATTGTCAAGACGAATATAATATTACCGGTACAGATTTTGTCAGCAAGGCTTGACTTTTTCAAGTCCTCTATCGAACACTCCTTTATTTTCGATCCAATCTGACAAGTAACGACAACAGCTTCTGCATTGTAGAAAAAATAATCACATTTTTTTTCTTTATATATTCATGGATGGAAAAAGCTATAGTAGACAATTGTAAGCCAATTTTTATCGCTTGTCAAAATGGTAATACATCGAATTAATCGACTAAGGAACGTATTTTAAATACATATAAATATTCATTTTAAAGTTCTACAAAACAGTTTTTACTTTAGAGGGGTCTGGGCACAGATGCATTGTTTACAGTTTGAAATGTCTATTTTCATTCAAGAAATAATTTCAGTTTCATGACTTGAACTAACATGTATATTCTAAGAATTCATTGACAAAGACATTCTTCACAACATCACGTCAAACACCTGTGTTTGTAAACAGTGCACGAGCTCTGTTAATGTTAGTGCTTACGTTTTACTGGGTGGGTTCAATTTTGTTTAGTCTGCACACATCACTGAGCATGTTTCTTCTCTGAACTTTCTGGATAATAGTTTTCATTAATACACAACAAAATTTCTACTTTGCCTAAGTATTAAGAATAAAGTTTACTTTGTGACAGGAAAGGATATGTGTTAATCAAACACGTCCCGAAAATCGTAGTTTTAATAATTTCTAGATAAAAGAATTTTCTTAACACTCTTTAATACATTTCGGTGTGAAATGCTCTAGCAACACAAGTCATGATATTATTTAGAAAATTTTAGTAAATATGAGCTTCAAGTCTGTGTCCCAGCCCCTTTAAAGAAAAATACTTCCATATACTAGTATGCTTTGTTACAACCCGTCCTTACACTTAAGAAATACAGAAAAAAGGCTTTCAAACAAAAAAATTGGTGTTCCCAGTTGAATAACTTTGGCATAAAAAAAAAACAAAAACAACTATACGGATTCCAAATTTCAGCATAGAAAATAACAAGAAATATTTTCAGAACAGAGAGCCCTTAATCCCTTCCCATCTTTTAAAGAAATATTATCTACTTGTTATAGCTAATCCCTATATAAATAATATATATATATATAGATAAACCATGACTTTTGTATTGGGTGGACCAAAAACTCTGTTTTATTTTGAATTATTTATCTTAGGAAATAAGTGGAATTATTGTCAAGCAAGTGGTTATTAAATAGTTATCTATCCGATAACGTCGTGCAGAACAATAGGACCTACTTGTTTGAAATGGATTGGGGGCATTGTAAGTATTTTATATCTGATTACCATTCTCACAGGTCGAGCCAGTGTATCCAGTTTGACAATTGCAGGAAAAGCCACTGGGAGAGTTTATGCAGCTACCTCCATTTTCACAAGATGTAGATTGACAGTGGTTTACTACGACATCGCATGCTTTTCCTGTATAACCATTCGAGCACGAACAACGGAAATCGTTCACAAGATCCGAGCATGATCCACCATTACTGCATGGATTTGGTGTGCAATCATCAATATTTACGTCACAATTCTTTCCCGTAAAACCAGACGAGCATTGACAACTGTAATCGTTCCTTTGGTTTGTACAGACTCCACCATTTTTGCATGGTGATGACTGACATTCGTTTATATCTATACTACAAGTCTTTCCAGTGAAACCAGATGCACAAACACAGTGAAAATCACTACCATTCCTGGAACAGGTTCCCCCGTTTAGACATGGTGAGCTTTCGCACTTATTTACTACTTTTTCACATGAAGTCCCGGTATAACCATCAAGGCAAGCGCATTTATAGCCATTAACAATATCTATACATTGTCCACCATTTACACATGGATTATTTGCGCATTCGTCAATGTTCTGCCGACACGTTTCCCCCGAGTAGCCAGCAGCACATTGACAAGTAAAGCCATTTGGAAGGTCTACACATGTGGCACCATTTTTACATGGATTATTTTCACATTCATCTGAAATTCAAATTGAATTTTACTATAAATGGAAATAAATATTGATTTCTACATAGATTTGCATATAGAAATCTTATATAAAATTAACAAACCATACCAAACTCTTCAGTGAAGAGTGAATCTGCAAACTCAAACTAAAAACTACAAACTTTATTATCGTACAAATGAAATAAATTATGTATTTATCATTTCATCTTTCAAATAAGTAAGCAGATCTTCATCATTTGCCCACCTATTGCTTGGTTGAATGTAATACTGAACGTCTTGTTCATTGTTTTACAATATTCCATCGTTGTAATGACCTTTCCTTTGTAATGAACAAATACAGTTCGACCACGGTTTTTAATTGAAAATGCAGATGGTTGGTTGTCTCTTGCTAATCCTTTCACGTCATAGAAAGCCTCGTTTGGGGTGGATGTTTGAGCTGAGGCAAACAGTTCGACCTCTCCACAGGTCACATTCGTCTAGAAAACAATTCCAATACACGGCTTATCCTATAATCCTATTAAGAATAACATCCTAACATGTCGTATTATGAAGTCATCTTCGGACCAAGATCTAATAAGTTTTTATGCCCCCGTAATCGAAGATTTAGGGGGCATATAGTTTTTGCCCTGTCCGTCCGTCTGTCTAGCTGTCCATCTGTCTAGCTGTCTGTCTAGCTGTTTGTTTGTCCGCAAACACTTTAACCTTGGCCATAACTTTTGAACAGTTGGTGCGGATTTCATATTTCACATGTGTATTTCTTGTGATAAGACCTTTCTTTGGGTACCATCATATTTGACCTTGGAGTTTAACCCAGATTTCAAAAATTTTACCCAACCTTAACTTTGGCCATAACTTTTGAACAGTTGATGCTAGGGCTTTCATACTTCACATGTGTAATTCTTGTGACAAGACCCTCCTTTGAATACCAACAACTTTGACCCTTTGACCTTGAACTTTTGAAAAAACATTAACCTTGGCAATAACTTTTTAGGGTTGATGCTAGGACTTTCATACTTCACATATGTAATCCTTGTGGCAAGACCTTCTTTTGGATACCAAGAGCTTTCACCCTTTGACCTTGGAGTTTGACCTACTTTTGGAAGACATTAACCTTGGCCATAACTTTCGAAGAGTTGGTGCTAGGGCTTTCATATTTCATTGTGTATTTCTTGTGAGAAGCCCTTTCCTTGGGCACAATTAATTTTAACCATTTGACAAGCCTCTAAGTGACCTCTAAAATTTAGGCGCCAGCTGAATCCTAATTAAAAAAATTTAGTCGTCAATGTAAATTGTAGTCGCCAGGCAATTTTTATGCACCAACTTAAAAACTTATATTTTAGTCAATATACGGAGGCATGTCCATTGCTAACTTTTAAATTTCTTTTCTGCTCTTCATGAAAAAGATGTTAAAATGTTTATTGTTCAGTAATTTGACGATTGCAAATTCAGCTTAAAATGCTCGCTAATTTAGCGACTTAAAAAGAAATTTTAGGCGTCAATCAAAATTTTTAGGTGCCATGGCGACTAAATTTAGTCGCCAATTAGAGTCCTTTTTGACCTTGACATTTGACTTAATTTTGATTTTTTTTTTAACCTTTTCCATATTTTTTCAATGGTTGCTTTTAGGGCTTTAATATTTCACAGGTATATTCCTCGAATGAAGACCTTACCTTGGGTACCAACATATTTGATTTGCATTTGAGAAAGTTTAACCTTCGCTATTAGTTGCCACACGGGGGCAGCAGTGTTTTAACAAATACATCTTTGTTATCATTAATAAATATTTTTTAACCCTTTGGTAGATTATTGATATCAAAAAGTCAATTTATGTACAATTTTAACTTCATGAAGCCGAGATTGAAGAGGCGCATTCGGCTTCCAACCAACTGCTGTATGTTATTTTAACGATCGGCAAATGTGGTGATTTTATCCTTGAAGTGTATAATATTCATTTTTAACTTAATTAATTCTTAGCGATTTTAGGGATAACCCGAGCCCAATTCATTTTCTAGGACAATAATTGTGATTTAAGTATTAACAACATTGATTTTTGGTAAGGCCATGCATCGCTTGAAATGCTTAAGTTAGAGGGTGGCAAAAAATTAGTATACATGGCTTTATCTTATTCGCGAGGAAAAGAAGGTCGCAAAACTCATGGATATTTCTCTTAAGCGAGTAAAAGTTGGATTATGGTAAATAGTTTGAATTCGCATGTTTTTTTTTTCAAAATCTAACTTTTTTTACGTGGTTTACCAAATGGGAATATTTTATCACATAACGATTGCTCTTAGAATGTAACAGATGTCTAAAATCAATTATTAGGTCTCGTAAAATTTTGAACATAACCGTTTGTATAGTAAGATTATGCCTCCGCCCCCAAGGAAAAGAAAACCATTTCTTGATAAATCTTAATCATTTTATGTTGTCCATTCTGCTATTCTTTGGCATTGAAAAAAGAAAGAAAATATTCATTTTCTCTGGAATTAAAGATATTTTTATTTGAGAGAGAGAGAGAGAGAGAGAGAGATGACGTACGGTAATTCCTGTGACTTGAGCCTTCGTGTCGATCTCCACGGTGTCTTCCACCACTCGGTCTGGTTTAAGACCTCCTTCCACTTTTGTTTCATTCTTACCAATGACTTCCACTTTCTTTGGTGCTATGAAGAGAATATGCTTATATTGCTAGAACTGAACTCGGTTTTACACAAATAGTGACCTCCAAAACACATTACCAGACTTTCTTTGAAATTCAAGTGTTCATTTGAAAACTTTTAAATAAACCATGATAAATCTTGTATCTAATGGTTCTTAAACTTCATTTAAACTGTTTCTTTTTTTACTTAAGTGCACATTTAGTATATTTTGATGATATCAAAGTATTGAATGAATAAGCTGTGCATTTTAATTTTCTGGATATTGATTGAATATTTTACAATATGTTTGATTTATATTTTCACAAAGCTGTATGTAATCGACGTAGACATATTTCACCTTTACACGATCGTCTCCTGACTTCATAGAGAATATTGTTAATTCCAGAAAACCCCTGCAGCATAAACACGTGAACACATGTCGGCTCCGAGGCTGCAGAAGTTATTTCTCCCCTATCTACATTACCAATCCCGATCACAAAAATAGACACGCCCTCAGACCTGTAAGAAAGTATGTATACACTCTCGTAAAGTTTAAAAAAAAATTGTTGTAAGAAAACATGAGCGGTAAATATTGAATCTTTGTTTCCCAACGTTTTCTGATACCGTGTCTTTCCAAAAAAAAAAATTAATAAGCTCATAAATTGCCTTATTTAATGAAATATGAAGATAACGAACAGTAATCAAGCTCAAAAGTCCATTGAAACAAAATCAATCGGGAGCAGAGCAAACACGGACCTCTAAAACATCAGAGGTGGGATCAAGTGTCATGGAGGAATAAGCATCCCCTGTAGACCCGCAGTATGCTCCTTGTCATGATCGGGAAAACGGAAAAATACATAGACGATTCAACATTCGACTTAGTGATAGATTGTATCATGTGAAATTAAAAGAAAGTGGAATAAAGACTTAATATCAAATGCACCTTAATTATCTAATACCTTCATATCCATTATGATTGATGTATTTCGCTTATTGCTTGCATTGATAAAACTGTAATTTATATTGAATATTTATTGAAGAGCACACTCTCCTTTAAGTGTCTTTTGAAATACTTTTATAGTTTATAATCTCATTAATTACTACCTATGAGATCGAATACAAGAATTCATCCGATTATGACGACAGTGACGCTTATTCAAGTAATTTTATTTTGATAAACAACATTTTCAAACATTTTAAAATATTCCAGGCTTATTTACGAGAAAAATCTCTATGATAAGGACTGTAGAAATTATGAAACGCTGACTTTAAACGAGGTTGCTGAAATCCCTGTAACATCAACTTATCTGTCAGTGGCCTGCCTCGGTTTAGAAATTGATCGTACTCAGAGCATGCGCTTGTGTATCGAATAAATTGGGAGAAACCCCATTTGCAGGGGATAGCGGATTATTACTACACAAACAAGGAAAGTTGACGATGGAAAAGCTGAAATCATCTCGTTTGTCATACAATTTAGTTGTTAGTTGGCCCTTTTTGTCGATAGTCAGTTAAACATCCAAATATGACAGATGTGACAGACCCTGTGATGTCTTTTATATCGAGTTCTCTGGGATGTATGGAGTCGACAAATGAAGGAAAGTGACTATTGTCAATTGATAAAACATTGTCGATATCTGTATGTGGAGTTGAACTAACAAATGCATATTTTTCGTGTACATACATGTAAAGCGCTTTTGAGTTATGGAGTAATTCTTGTCTGGTTTCTAAATAATTGAAATATTGAAAGTTTATTTGCCTATAGTCTTTTATATCTATATGTTAGGGATTTAAAAGATCATATTTTTCTTTTCTCTTTTTTACTGTAAAATTTAAAGTGAAATGGTAAACTGAGTTTGAAATCTAGCAGGTACTATATTTTTCGCGGAAAGGCTTTATATGAAAATACCCCCTTTTCTGCTTCACAAAATTACTAAAGAATAAGGAATTTAGTTAGTATTCTTAAACAATCAAAGGCTTTACGAATTTTCTGAAGTAAATGAAATTAATAATTATGAACTAAAGTTTTAAAATATATCAAATACATAAGATTTTCAAAAGACAACAAACAAAACAAACTTAAATCTTGTTAGCTTTTAAAAGTTTCCAATCCAAGAATATACTAAATAGTTAACAATAATTCATTATTATAACAATTGTTGTTTTTTAGAGCATTCAAAATTTACTGTCTTGTTTCATTAATATAAAAGGACAGTTTCTCCAGGTGCTAAAAATTTTAATTTATTCCAGACAAGGTCTTATAAAATAAGAATTTACAAATGAAAAAGGGATGGGATAGCTGTGCAGTTTCTCTTCCTAAAGTTTCTAATATGCATTGTCCACCAAGGAATCAAAAACAATTTGGTCCTTTAGTTCAATACTGTAAACCAACTATTATTCGCGTCATCTTTTATTTACGATTCGTCAGTTTTAAATCAATCTGCAACGATTATTTTTCGAGACTAAGGAAACATTCTCTACAAATACAAAGCAAAATAAATGGTTCGTGGCAATAAATATTCGCGAGTTAAAGTATGTCGCGAAACTCGCGGGTATTTCTCACATGCGAATAAAAGTTGATTAACAGTATGTTTAGCTGTTATTTTTCGAATTAACTAGTCGATCCTTACTTTGCTCTGCTGGCTTCCTGGGCTGTCACAGTTTTATCTGAGGATTTCCCATCTGTGAGAAGGATCATTACTTTTGTGGCATCTTTCCTAAGAATATTGGAAAGAAACGGATTCATTGTACGAATTAAAACTCTAATTCACTACTGTTGCGGATTCTTTAATTCTTGTTGTGGCATAAAAAAAGTATATTTTTATCTATCCTTATTACTTACCTGGATGATCGGTTGAATACAGAACGAGCCCCGTTTATTCCTTTCCCGATACGCGTACTTCCTCTTGCATAGCTCATATACTGAATCGCCCTCTGTAAACAGTTGAATGTAATTACTATATTTCTGATTTTAACAATTTGCTTTATGTGACATTTTAAACATTTTTTTTTATTCTGTGTTTTATTTCTGCTCTTTTCAAATAGTACTGCAAATCTACTTATTCATAAAACATATTTGTATATATTTTCAATTCATTGATATTGACGAATATCTTCACATTTAGATGATAATGAATATCAAATTTACCAGGAATACAGTATTACATTAATTGTCTTGCGTTGTCTTTGTTCTTAGTCTATGTTCATAATATTTAAATCATAAAAGAGATTTTAAGTATGCAACGGAACTGCTCAATACATAGCTACTAGTAAAACACTACGATGGTTACAGCAAGAAATGGACCGTTTATGTAATTGCCAAAGAATATTGTCATACTGTATAGTATTGGCTGACCATAGAATTAAGATCTATGTTGACTCAAATTTGACCTCAGTGCATATATTCTTCAAATTTATCAGCGATCTCCTTTAAAGTGAATATTTGACATTGTTTGCAAAACCAACCTGTCGGTTTTTTTCCTCCCGACGTTTTCATACAGATTGTAAGGTCATTGTTTTCATACTGATTCTGTGTACAGATTGCTCTGTTTTTACCTAAGCAAGACAGAACTCTCTGCAGGTGTGATCGGTTATCAAGGGATGCTTATTAATCTTTGGCACCTGTCCCAACCTCTGGTGTTTCTGACCATCCTTTGCTCTGCTCTCAATTTTGTATTGTTTTATTAGATCAATGTTCGTTATCTTCAATGATTTTTACATATATTATCATGTAGGAAGACAGACTAGCAAGGTAGATATTGACAGCGAGTTCTATATAACCTTTGTATTTTGCATGCATGGAAAGAGTGGTGCTTTTCTTTTGTAATTTTAAACTTTGTTATATTCGATATAAATCATAATTTTGAAAACAGCCTGGCTGAATACGCCCTTTAGTAACAAGAATCATCTAATATACTTTGTTTTGAAGTTTATATCCAAGTTCTTCATCGTTTCCACAAATTCAAACTTAGAGTGTTGCACACGAAAATAAATTCATCCACAAGTCAGTTTTTATGGAAAGTAGAATCTTACGTACCTTTATAGATGATTTCTGACTGTATCTGTTTAGATCAAACACTGTAGTTGCAGACTTGTGGAACTTGACGAGCCCCACACGAAATGCAGTGTTCGAAATGGTTACTTGGTCCACAAGGTTGACCAGAAAGTTTTTCATTTTTCTAAAATTTGAGCTACCGATACTTCCGGATTCATCTACCACAAACACGAGATCTACTGGCTTCATGTCACAAGATACTGTAACAGATCAAACTAATCTATAGCTGAAGTAGTTCATTGAGTTTAGAACATTTTGTTTTCTATTGAAATGCCTACATTAAAACGAATAAATTTATGAGAAATCTTGCATTTGCAATAATTACAGTAAACCGATATATTAACATACCTTGACGAAGGCTATTTACTGCAAGAAAATCATTCCTTTGTCCACCAAATTGTTTGGCCCAGAAGAGCGCTTGAGCATTAACGGTTGAGGGTATGGTAGTTCGGTACCTTTCCTGAACATACTGCACGTACAGTGCGGCTGCAATGCCGGAGTACAAAGGTTTCCGAAGGTCGAACCATGTGACACGGGACCAATTTATGCTGAAGTTCCCTTGTATTCCAATACGATGTTTTCTTAGATAGTAAGTAGTTTGGGTAAGACGAAACTTCTGTTGATTGATCTACAAAGTTTGGTACAATTAGCAACAATTAATTATTCGGATGAATTGTTTCACACAGGAAACAATGGCCCGAGAATAACTCAACTAAATACATGTGTAATTTAATTTTTCAATATATTACCTGCCAGATACCACCATGAAATCCCTGCCGATAGGTGTCGCTTTTCTCCCCGTCTCTACTGGCAGCATACGCCATTCTTCTCAAGTAGAAATTATCATCGGAGATGGTACATCGCTCTCTAAGTAAATCAACCACCGCCTCCACGACACCAGATCCTCGAGCGCCATCTTCTCTTGTTTTGTCTACCGCACATACAACAGACAGAAGAAGCAGTGTTAAGAAGATGGAGTATACTCCATAACGTTCCATCCTGCTGTGGATCAGAATCTTTCAGGAGTCATTTACACGAGCAACCGTCTTAAATAACCGAAGTATTTATGACGGTGATGAATAAATATTTTTCACAGATACGAGCGTAATTTGTTATGCAGTATTGTGATTTAAACAATTAACATAATCAAACAATTGTCCATTTAAATCTAAGAGGGTTGCGCAGGATGTCCATATCTTCTCTCACATCAACGTAAATCCCAGCTTAGTTCTACCTTTTGTTTAAATATTTAAAGACATTTTAACAAGGTACCGAGTTCCTGGTATAGATGTCCATCATTTGTGTGTATTCGTCAAGTTCTATATTTGAATTATATTCTTATTGTTGGCGTTCAAAGGCGTCAATTGCGATATGCTTACTATTATAATTACGCACAGGTCTGTAATACAGGACATTGTAAATTTAATTTATTACACCTATTCTGATAAACTGACTTGACATACAGGTCAATCTGGCCATTCTAATGAATCAGATTAAGGTCTTTGTTTTGTACCCTATTATTCTAGAAATGCCAACCCTCATATGGTTGAGAGAAAAAATTCGGTCAGTCAAAACAGTGCATTCTAGGGTATGTATTTGAATTCATAATGGATTATAAATCTTTGATGTTGCTTATGAAAAAGCACGCGCATTACTTTATAATGAGCCAAGAAAGAAAGCACATTACTTTTAATGAACCAAGAAAATATGCTAGTTTTCCAAAAATTTTAATGAATATACTTTGAAATTTTACTCCATCATTTTCAATGTTTTGTGTTGATAAATGTTTTGAAATAATACTACAAAAACTACCTATGACTTTTGAAGGAAACAAACATTTTTTTAAAAGTAAAATGGTGGTTGTAATACCACTAAACTTGTTTGACTTATAAGCTGCCCTTCTATCTAATGAAAAAATCAGTAATGCCCATACTTAAGCATATGTTATATAAAAAATATCCTACCTAAATCCTAACTGCAATTCATTGTAAAAAGTCTACATATTTACATGTCTCTCTCCTGTAATTAAAGTCTTGCCGCGTTTTAGATGAAAAATTAATAGCATCTTTTAAAAATCTTCTTCTCAAGAACCACAGGGCCAGGAAAGATGAAACTCATGTGGAAGCATCCTCAGGTAGTGTAAATTCAAGTTTGTTCAAATCATGACCCCCGGGGATAGGGCGGGGCCACAATGGAGGATCAAAGTTTTACATAGAAATATATAGGAAAAACCTTTAAAAATCTTCTTCTCAAGAACAGCAAAGCCATGATGAGTCATATTTATATGGAAGCATCCTCAGGTAGTGTAGATTCAAGTTTGTTCAAATCATGACCCCCTGGGGTAGGGCGGGGCCGCCACAATGGAGGATCAAAGTTTTACATAGAAATATATAGGAAAAACCTTTAAAAATCTTCTTCTCAAGAACAGCAAAGTCATGATGAGTCATATTTTTATGGAAGCATCCTCAGGTAGTTTAGATTCAAGTTTGTTCAAATCATGACCCCCGGGGGTAGAGCGGGGCCACAATGGAGGATCAAAGTTTTACATAGAAATATATACTAGGAAAAACCTTTAAAAATCTTCTTCTCAAGAACAGCAAAGCCATGATGAGTCATATTTATTTGGAAGCATCCTCAGGTAGTGTAGATTCAATTTTGTTCCAATCATGACCCTCAGGGGTAGGGCGGGGCCACAATGGAGGATCAAAGTTTTACATAGAAATATATACTAGGAAAAACCTTTAAAAATCTTCTTCTCAAGAACAGCAAAGCCATGATGAGTCATATTTATTTGGAAGCATCCTCAGGTAGTGTAGATTCAATTTTGTTCCAATCATGACCCTCAGGGGTAGGGCGGGGCCACAATGGAGGATCAAAGTTTTACATAGAAATATATAGGAAAAACCTTTAAAAATCTTCTTCTCAAGAACAGCAAAGCCATGATGAGTCATATATATGGAAGCATCCTCAGATAGTGTAGATTCAAGTTTGATCAAATCATGACCCCTGGGGGGTGGGGGTGGGGCCCAATGGGGGATCAAAAGTTTTACATAAGAATATATAGAAAAAATATTTCTTCTCAAGAACAGAAAAGCTATGTTTAGTCATATTGATATGGAATTATCCTCAGGTAGTGTAGATTCAAGTTTGTTCAAATGATGACCCCTTGGATAGGGAGGAGCCACAATGGGGGATCAAATTTTTACAAAGGAATATATGGGAATTTTTTTTAAAAATCTTCTCAAGTACAACAAAGCCATTTGTTATATTGACATGGAAGCATCATCAGGTAGTTTAAAATTCAAGCCCCCCCCCCCCCCCCCGGGTAATCGTTTCAATACTGAACTGATTTGTGCTTTTGCCTAGCCAATGTGCTCAGGTGAGCAATGTGGTCCATGGGCCTCTTGTTTTTCTAAATAATATCGAATATATCACATACATGAACAGCAGCCATGAAGACATAATTTTTATAACTTTACTCTGAGGGATTGCTTGTATATAAAATTGTCTGTAATACTGCTTTTGAAAATAATATCGTAAGAATACATCCTTTCATTGCTTTGCGAGATTTTGACCCAATAATATGCCTCCAACAAAACCCTTTTTGCCAATCTTTAAGTTACATGTAAATGATAATGTGGTACTTGAGAGAAGTGGATATTCTAAAAAATGTTAACGAACGAGGACGAAAAATCTTGACCAGAAAATTTGGGTAATATTCTCAAGTAAGCTTAAACAAATAATAAACTGAAAATTTGCATTTAAAAAGAAGGCATCGACTCAATTTGCTACTTTTAACACTCTTTGATCTGATCATATCTTGTCAAATACAAATAATGTAGTTTACAGTAAAATGTTATGCATTTGTCAGACATGATATTTTTACAATAAAATCGTTTCATATCTGCTTTTGATTTCCTTCTACAAAAATTCAATTCACGCATTTGCCTCATAACAACTTTCAAGAAAAAAAACTTATTCTCTTTCAAAGTTCCCGTCGTCCGCAAAGCGCTCTCTCTCTCTCTCTCTCTCTCTCTCTCTCTCGGCATGTAGAATTTTTAAATGCTTTTTCTAGTATACTAAGAAACACATTTGTTTATTTTTTTCTCCATTTCGATAAACAGTATTCCCGTGATCATTAAAAAATGTTAATCGAATTTTTCTAAACTTCTTTTAAAATGCTACTTCTCCTTATGTTTTGGTTTGGTTTTAAGAAAATCTTTGTAATGTAAACAAGTAGGCTAAGTACAAATTTCTGAGTATAGATATTTGATCTCAATAAGTGTCTTCAATTTTGTTAAACGATGTTACCATCATGGATCATGTTTTTTTTTTTGTTTTTTTGTTTTTTTTTAAAATAGAATACTAATAATCAGTTAAGTACTTTCTAAATAATAGATAATTCTCCAAAACCTTGATTTGATTTCAGTTGAACTCAGATTTTAGGAAAATGAAACGATGCATGTTTACTTCAAATTCAAATATTTTCGTGGGTTCAAATTTTTGTGGATTGAGGGAAAATTTTCAATTCATGGAGATTTGATTTCGTGGATGATGAAGTGTTGAATAGTTATGCATAGGAAATTTTACATTTCGAGGGGGTCGTAAATTCGTGGGTATTATAACATCTACAAAAACACAAAAATTAACACACACCCCTCCCACACACACACACACACACACGAAAATTAAAGATTTCACAGTAGTGAAATACTGTAATTCGTGTATTGAAAAACCTGGGATTTTGTCACAGTGTAAAAGAATATCAGAAGTGCTGCAGAACTCGAGATTTTTCCTTCTCTGCAGGAAGAGTGAAAAATGTCATGCCTGTATAGAACAATGAGTGATATCTCTCTCTTTCCCGCCTTTCCATATGGCACAGGTATTCACAAAGGTTTCAAAATGAAATTGAAAGTATTGTGACTTACAAATAGCTATAGGTACAGATGATCGTAAATCAATGTCTGATAATTTTATGTTCGAACAATATTCCCGAGTAGCTCAGTGAAGAACCGGGTACACTACCTTACACGACGTGACAGAATTTAGTTTTCATAAAGTGTCCTGAGGTAAGAAATCATGTGTTTAATTATAATATGTTTTAGGTCACAATGCTTGAAATAACCAAACAAGAAACATTTTTTTTTAACCGAGTGCATTCTATTTTCTTTTATATGAATTTCTTTTTAAAACAAATTTAGATATACTAGTATTCAAATACCATCAAATGGAGAACAAAAGACAGACATGCGCTGTCTATGCCATTTAGTCAGTAAAAAAGGAGGGAGTCCCCATTATCGTTGTGACTTCTGCCTATTAAAACGGATTCGCTCTTTGTAATACAATTGTTACTTATTGTAATTACAGTTGCAGTTAGATGATGACCATTCTTGTTTTAAAAAAGAGATCTTTTTGAAAGTTGATTTTGTCAAAAAAATTCGTATGTCATTAAGTGCAGTCACCTCTTTTACAATTGAAATTCTGATAGTGTTCCTATAGTTTTTGAATAAAACTCGATACAACTTAAGAAAGTATCAAGCTAATTGGTTCTGCATGATTTTACAGAAAAGTTAAGCAAATTCAAAGAATTATGGCCCCCCTCTTTTGGGGTTATATTGCTTGGGGTACAATAAACCCATTGACATCTTGTCACACATCTTGTCTGTCATATCTTATATGTCCATCATTCTTAAAAGAAATTTATAATTTTGAAATACTGTGGAATCATTTTAATTCGCGGGGGTCAGTGTTCGTGGGCAAGCAAAATTTTACTTGTTCGTGGGGACGTAATTTCGTGGATCACTCCTTTATACGGTGGTTCATGAATCAAAAATGTTAACAAAATAAACCTTCGTGGGGATGTATATTCGTTGGTAAGGGTGACCCCGAAATCCACGAACATTGGTTCCCCTCGAACAATGACGATTCAGCAGTAATATGTTCTGGTGCAGAAGTTGCAGTCAAATTCTTTTTTTTAAAAAGAAAGTCACACTTCAAG